CATTCACTTCATTGTTTAATACAATTTGTTTAAATCTTTGGTAATAAGCATTAAGTGAATAAAGATTTGATTTGGTTTATTTTGTACATTCAAAATGTTTTGATGCATTCTCAGTCATCCAGGTAAGTAAATCCCAAAAAGTTGATTCAGTTCATCTGGACGTGGTGTTTTCAGTGGGAAGAAACATTTCATCACTGAGCCAAGTGACTTCTTCAGTCTCAAAATGCTACGTCCAGATGAACTGAATCAACTTTGGGGGATTCAAAATGTTATGTATTTAAACTGTTATAAGATGTTAATCTAATGTACACAACAAAGGCATACTGAAATGAATCTGAAATCATATTGCCATTTTAAAAAGCTCTATAAAGCATTATTATTAATTTCACCTGTAGACTAATCTATTGGCCTTAAAGATGAAGTCAGAAGTCAAATGTGACATGAAATTTTAAATTTTTATGCAGTAATTTCTTTCTTCTCATTTTAAAGGGGATTTACAGGCCTTTGTCTGTTCATGCACATTAAGCGTGTACAGAGAAAGTCAGGTAGCTAGATGTCTATCTCTCTAAAATTTTCCAACCACAGAAGAAATCATCTTCAGATCACATCTTCATCTCCATCCATTTTTACTTCTGAGAATTGCATTTCCTGCTCTGTCTCTCTGTGCGTGAGTGTGAATAAGAAACCATTAGGTGAATAATAATAGGCTACATTTGCTTTGCATTGTCCCCACCTGATGACAGTGGTATAGTATGATATGATTCCATATTAGGTTCTTGATGAATGTGTGTTGTTGTTCTTCAGCATGGTTCTATGTGTCCCTTTTTAACTTTGAGTACCCGCCCCTTTAAAGATCTCTGCACAGCCCCAGAGCAGAATAATATCAGTCCATGAGTCTCAGACTGAGGCAGTGTCAAGTGTTCTCTGACTGTGAGGTGTCCACACTTGAAAAAGACCAGACTTTGAATTTCACTCAACTTTATTTAGACCAGCTAGTTAGATAGCTGGTAGGTAGATAGGTAGGTAGCAGCAGGTAAAAAACCTTTCAACACAAAAATAAAGAACATTTCATTAACCAGTAACCATTCAGATAAATTACATGCATTACACAGAAGACAGATGAAATAACAAAATACACTTCAGTAAAGCCATTTACTATGTGGTTAACTGTGTCAATTTAACTGTGGTTCTTAAATATACAAAATGTGTCTTCTTTGCATTTAACACTTTTTTTATAAACAATTGTATTTTAAAGTATACATTTTAGAGTTCACAAACATTTTAATAGACTTTAACTAAGGATTTTCTTTACAAAGAATTATTTTCTTTAAATCAAAACCAAACATTTATTCACTAGTTTTACGATCCACCCAAGGATTTGGGGGTAACTATTTTTAGCTGAAGTGTGAAAGCAGCTGCAGTCCAGCTGGTTTTCTTTTGTGTGGTTCAACAAAAACAAATTTTGTTCCAGTCATGTAAGGTTCCTGTTTCGTCCTAAATGTTCTAGGATCAACCTTCCAACTGACCAAAAAGTTAGTTAATGCTTTTAAAATTATGACTATCACACCAAATTTGTAACCTAAATTTGGCTAACAGCAAACTTAACTTGATAATTAGAGTGGGTGGGTGTGGTGAATGGGTGGAGCAGAGGTTTTGGAGACAGTGTCGGAGGAGTCGGGCGGCCACAGCTGCCAGTCATCAGCTAATTGTGATTCCTCTATTTTGTCTCAGGCTACGTCCACACGTACCCGGGTATTTTTGAAAACGCCGATTTTTCTATGCGTTTGCACCTTTCGTCCACACGTGGTTGCTGGAGTACTTTTCTATGCTGTGGTGTGCTGGGGGAGCAGCACAGCAAAGAAGGACTCATCCAGGCTGGAGAAACTGATCAGGAGGGCTAGCTCTGTGGTCGGCATGAAGCTGGACACTCTGGTGACAGTGGCAGAGAAAAGGACATTAAAGAAACTGATGGACATTATGGACAATGCCAGGCATCCTCTGCACACGGCCATAACAACCAGAAGAGTCTGTTCAGTGACAGGTTGCTTCTCCCCAAGACAAGAACTAACAGACTTAAAAACTCCTTTGTCCCACACGCCATCAGACTGTTTAACTCCTCTCTGGAGGGGAGAGGGAGGGGAAACAGGAGGACAAAGGAGGGGGGAACAACTAAGCTGTAGTGCCTCTTCACCTCACTGTACAATACCTTGTGCAATACTTTTGTAAATAGTCAACAGTGCAATAGACTCAATACTTGAAATGTGCAATTCACTTGTATTTTTATTTTTTATTCCTATTTATTCTATTTATCCCCTTCGTATATTTTATTTATATTGTCTCTGTATATTATGTGTGTGTGTGTGTGTGTGTGTGTGTGTGTGTGTGTGTGTGTATATTATATTCTGTAACTCTGAAACTTCTGTCGGTGCTGTGCTTTTTGGAAATCGAATTTCCCAGAGGAACCCACCCGAGGGATTAATAAAGTTCTATCTAATCTAATCTAATCTAATCTAATCTAAACTGCGTTTCCGGTCACTGAAAACGGAGATTTTTCACCGGCCAGGGTGGATATTTTTGAAAACTCGTTTTTGCATTTACGTGTGGACGAGAAAAACGGAGAAAGCGCAGCATCAAAGGTGTGCGCCTTTTTTGACGTCACACTGTGCGCCACGTTATTGTTTCGGTGAAATGAATTTCTACAATACTGTTACTGTTAGTTGTACTCTCTGCAGTGTTTAAATGCTTACATATACACACACAGTTACTGTCCCGCCACACATACGACTCTGTTCCGCTTCTATGCCCCATCCTTGTTTACTATTTCCCACCGAGGCTTCTAGACTAGCCAACATTTCTACATGGTTAGGAATATAGCGCCACCTGTTGCTTTGGCATCTTCCTAGCAGCGTTTTCCTTCATTTCTGTGTTTACGTGTGGACGGGATTATTTTTTAAAACGAAAAATCTCAATTTTCAAAAATACCCGTGTACGTGTGGACGTAGCCTCAGTAGGTCGCTGGGACCAGGGGTGTGTGAGTGATGACTGTGGTGTGCAGTGTGTGTT